ATACGTTACAAACCCATTTCTTCGTAATATGAAGACCACTCTTTCTAAGGAACTAAGAGTTTTGGCAATATGTTTTGCCTGTTGTAATTTCCTAGCTATAAATGAGTCAAGGCTTGCCTTCCGTCACTCACAACGGCGCCTTATGGCCCCTTGCGAGTAGGCATAGCGTCCACACGCCAGCATGCGGTACAGTCACGCAGTAACTAAGAAATTGTGCGGGGTCTTATCTGTGGGCCACCGTGTATTTGTAAAAACGAATAAATGTTGGAGCGTGTTGTTTTTGGGCCGCGGCGGGATGGCCGACACAGCAGAACGCGTCGGGGACGCGGTGACCCTCGCAACATATAAAGCCGGGGCGGGTGGTAGAGCAGGTGGCCGTGATGGGTCCCGAGGCTGCCATGGAGACGTCGCCTCGCTGCCGTAAGAAAGGACGGCGCCGTCCAGGTCAACGAGGATACGCTCAGCTCAGGCGCCGCATTGACCGACACAGCAGCGACAGCTGACACTCAGTGAGCACGTGCTTTTGTAAATTATTTTTATAACGAGGCTTTTCAATGCCAGCTTTTCTTTTGCGAAAAACTCAGATAAAATTGAAACTTCAAAACAAACACGCCCAAACATACCTTCAGTTACGAATTTTTCATATCGAGTCACTGTACCTAGTTTCAATGCAGCCTTCTATGTTTATTTAAAGCATGAGCCTATCCCCGATGAGATTCTTATCAACAGAATAATGAAAGGCTCCTTTAAAAGAGGGTCAACATTTCCTTGTGATCAGTCTAGGAAAGCTTTTTGATTTAAGGGAAACGATTTTCTGGGTCCGGCGCTTGCATCAAAACGACTTTCAACAGTTGGTCGAGCTGAGAGCCTCTATTCCCCGCCTGAATTACGATCACGCCCGTTCCATCCCGGCCCGTTGGGCTCCTGACAGGTATGGCGGGCGGTCGCGACCCCTCCCGCCCTCCCCAACGCCCCTGTCACATTCCATCAGGCGGGCTTGGAGATGGGCTCTGGTTATTGGAGTCCGGGTCAAACAGCGCGCACTTGTCCAAGGAGTCGAATAATTACACTTCGTGGGAATAAATATGGGTTATTGCCGAAGAATAGTCCGTTCGCGAGGAGTCCGGGCGCTAGTTCAAATGATTGCCCTTATAGACAGTGTCGTGTCGTGCTCTTAGGCCGTCAGGCTGCGGTCCTCCACATCCGGCTCCGCCGCGACCGACCGCTGGCGATGCGACTGACAGCCAGTCGAGCTGAACCTGAAGAGATCGCGCCGGGGAGGCCAATCGGGACCTAAGTACGGTCCCACCTAATCCCGCAGCACAGCGCCGCGCCACACCAGGCCAGCGTCAAGCGGGCCAGGAGCCAGACTGTCGGAACGACTCGGCGAACAAAGCTCATCTCCCGCCACACACACGAGGGGGAGCGAGAGAGAGAGAAACACTTCGCTTTCGGGTCGGACGGGCTGGCTGGGAGGGGGCGGGCGGCACCAGCGGAATGCAGCTCGCAGGGAAAGGCAGGCGAGTAAGTGAAAAGCCGGATGGGGCTTGTTTTGTCCTCCGCCGCTGTTTGCGGGGACATTCTGCTAAAAAGTTGCGCTCCCCCAGTGCTCTGCAAACATTTATTCTTCGTAGGGTAACAAATGTTTTCGCAATTTTTGGTCTTGGGTGGTGATGCTTCGTGACTTTGCGAAAGGCGATTCTCGCTAGTCTGATACGTGTCTCGGAATCTTGTTGCTTCCGATCTCTCACAGTAGGACTTTTGATCAACGCAAAGGAATATTATTGTGGATCGTAGCAGAGGGAGATGAGGGCCCCGGCCCCCGGCCATGCCTGCTTACTGCGTGCTCTCCCTCGCTTTGCCGCCGGGGGACGAGGCAAAAGGCCACATCTTTCTCGGCAGAGTACGCGCGCTGGCTTTGCGCTGATAAAGGGACTCCACCAACAATGTGTCTGCGGCGCCTGCAGGTCCTGGAGGCTCCGGGCGGCTGCGGCTGCGGCAGCGGCGCGCTCTCTATCGGCCATCAACATTCGCACAAACACCCCCCGCCCCGCCCTCCGCCCACAACGCCCCAAATCGAAATGTGAGGCGCCAGGTATCACAACACACACTGTACCCAATTAACTGCAGCCAAGTTAGGAGAGCAGATAAACCCGTAACGCTACGCGCGCCAGCGCCGACCCACTGCCGACCTCACCTCGCTCCGTTCCATTACTACTCCCTCCTTCCCTCTCTCTCTCTCCCACTCTCTCTCTCTCTCTCTCTCTCTCTCTCTCTCTCTCTCTCTCTCTCTCTCTCTGCGTCACTCCCGCTCTCAGCTTCACTTCAGCGATAACTTGCGCGCAAATCCCGTGCTTTTGCTATTAGCGGAACACAAAACTAAAACACAACACAAGAAAAGCCGTTGCCGGCAGCGACAGCTGGCCGGCCGCGCACTGCTCCCACGAGCCATCAAAGGGGTGTGACAAAGAGACAGCGGGCGGGCGGATGAGGCGGACGGTCGGACAGCTGGGCGCCGCGCGGGGTAGGCACCCCGGCGCACCCCGGAGCAATCCGGTACAGGCTAACAGCGACTCGGAGGGCGCACAGAGCAGCAGAGAGGGGGAATCATTCCGATCGTAATCTTCTGCTGCTCTGCAGCGCAAAACTGTCGGGAAACAGCCGCGCAGCAGAGGCAACGACCTCCGGGAAGCGCTACGAACAGACGGCAACATCTCCGCATTTCTCCACTCTTTACTTATTCTCGGACAGACCCTGCGCACGACCTTTCCCCATCTCCGCCCCACTCTCTGCCACGTCTCGCTCTCGATGCGCCGCGGGGCAGCGATTTCCAAACAGGAGAAATGGTGGCCAAAGGGAATCTGTTCTGCAGAGATAATGGGGTCGTTCACGAAATGTCTACGCCATTATAGTTTGGAAATCAAACCTGGTTAATCTGTTGGTTGAAAGTTAACATCAACGTATGATTTTACTGTCATAACTATCGTACCGATACGACATTTTATAATTGAGTAACGATAAATTTTGTTACTCTTTTTAGACGAGACGAGACACATCACTCCATTCAACCATACACAAAAACATATATTTTGCTAAAACAATGGCGGGAGGAGAGAAAATAGGAAAGGGAAATGGTGGAGTATAGATTTAGAGAAAGGTGAGGGAATATTTTGTCTCGTCAAAACATGATTTTGAGGGGAGAGAAACTGGGGGGAGGGGGGGCGCAAGCGCAGTCTGGGTGATAAATAACTGCATGTGTGACTACACACTACGGCCTGACCACCAGGCCGTGAGCAAACAGGTGTGGTGGCAGGAAGTACAAAAAGAATTCCCCATAACAAAATAAAAGCGCAAAAACAACAAAACAAAAAAGGGCAGAACAATTGGGAAAACCCCGCTTTAGTGAGGATGCCTCTGGGGACGGACGTCACCAGCGTTCCGGGGCGCGGCACAGCACGGGCCTAACCTAAGCCGTACTCTTTCCCGCATTTCTCTAGCAATTGCACTGCGTCCCAGGCTTACCTGTTCCCCTGTTTGGCAGGGAATGGCCTGCTTTAAGGCGCCCCATCGTCTGCTGTCCTGTCAGTAAAGCTTTAATGCGACTAGGAGCACCCTCCCTGCCCCACCACCAGGCCGGTGTCAGCAGTTCCTAAACAAGCGGGTAATCTCAAATGAAACAAATAACGGCACGACTCTTTTACGACCGCACCAAACCCTTCTCCCCCTTACGCCCCTAACCTTCCC